CTCTTCGCCGGCGCATCGTGGTGGAAGACATGGCGGGGTTCAACAGGTTGGGCTCATAACCTGAGCGTGTGCGGGCAGCAAAAGCAAAAACGCAGCCGCCCTTGTTTTCTTGAGCCAAAGTTCGAGGTTGGTTATGCTCAGTGCTCATGACTGAAATGTCAACTTCATGAAAAAAGGTAGAGTGGTGCTTAGGATTTCTCAAAATCAATTTCAAAAGTTTGCTACAACAGTCGTCTTGTTGCATTGTTAGATAGCAGGGTCACCATGGGAGCAGTGGCCAAGGGCCGCAGCAGTAGCAAAGCATTGAGCAGGATTTTGAGAAGCACACTTCCCTATCTGATTGGGAGCGGTTTGTATCCGGGCACGTTGCATTGTAGGTCTGCATGGAATCGGGCCGACGGGCCGTCAAGGGATGGCCCGGTTCCTCCTCCGAGTCGACCTGTCCCTGTTTGGTTGAAAGCATTGCTTGACGGCGACACAGCGCCTTTTGACATCATGTTGACATCAGCAGGATGGATTCGGCCTGTTGGGAGGTGGTATCGCCTCCTCCTACTGATGGCAGGAGACATCGAACAGAATCCTGGGCCTAAGCAGTTTTCCAGCTATGAGCCCAGAGGGGATTTGAAGATGATGGGCGGGTTTGCGCAGGCGACCTCTGTTCGAATGCAGAAATGCTTGAAGGCCTTTGGGCTTTGGTGTTCTACTGAAGCCCATGTGATGCTGGACGAAATTCTAAGTACCGCTGAGCTTGCAAACTTGGGTCTTAAGGGCTATGGGCTTGCATTGTTCAAGCAGGGAGCTCCACGATATTGGCTAGTTTACGCCATTACAGCAGTGCAACAGTCGCGTCCAGAGTTTAGATCATGTCTAAGTGGCGATTGGGCTGTTGACAAGAAGTGGCAACTAGAGGAGCCTGGCCAATGCTGGGCCGTTCTTTCAGCTCCTGTTTTGCGTGCAGTACTTTGTTTGTCCCTGCTGTGGGGGTGGTGGTCGTTTGCTGCGATCACCGCACTCGGGTTTGGCGGAATGTTGCACCCCAACGAATTTCTTCAACTGACACGGAGGGACTTGATCTTCCCCTCTGATTCCATGCCGGAGACACGATCGTTGTACATTTTTGTCAAAAACCCCAAAACCTCACGCTTCGCTCGAAAACAACACGTTAGAGTCGATGATGATTCTTTGAGTTTTCTTGCTTGGTGCGTGTTTGGCTTTCAAGCATTGGACACAAAATTGTTCCCAGCATCAACCGCTGCGTACAGGCGGCAGTGGAACAGTGTCATGGATCGCCTGGAGATCCCCCGACGCCAGGCGGAAGGAGGAGCTACACCTGGAACGCTCCGTGGCTCAGGAGCTACCCATGAATATTTGCAGTGCGGCAACATTAGTCAGATTCAATGGAAAGGACGTTGGAATAGATTAAAGACTCTTGAACACTATATTCAGGAAGTTGCTGCTCAGCTGCTTTTATTCAACTTGAGCCCGGTAGCTAGGCAAAAGATCAGTTCATTAAGCAGTTGTTTGCCTTTGGTGTTGGAAGAGCTCTTTCCTCAAGATTACAAACGGTTTTGCGAAGCAGGATGAAAGGGGTGGAATGGCTATACTGCTGGCTTAGATGACTTCTTCGTTCAAGACGATGTTCAGTGCTGGCAGTACGCCCTTCGACTTCGAAAGATGGCGCTTGCCTTGACCCTGAAACTCAGGGGTGGGAGTTCTTGTGACTGCGGAAAAGAGCGCGAGGGATATATATAAGTGCGTGCTACTAACTGGTCCTACTTAAGCACCTAAGGCTTTAATGAGGCTATTATATTATGGTATATGTTGTCCTGCGAGTAGGGCTGTCGATTTGAGTTGCTCATAGCTGCTCAACATTCTAGTGCGCACGTCTTGAGTGTGGGGGCCCATGGGCCAAGGTATAGCTACAAGTTTCCCCATTTTTGGCCCCTCCAAAGAAGGACAGTTGAAAGAAAGAAGCTTCGCACCACAGGAGACACTTGAGCCACCACAGAGTATTTGTATGATTTTGTATGTATGTATGTGTCCCCTTTTCAATCCATGGATTTTTCCATGCTTTTCCTCATATTTCTCAACTTGTAGATCTTCCTCCAACTTTGAGCGCCACGCCGGTTGGAACGGCTGGGTGTTTCGGACCGTCTGACGAGGTTCCAGCGCGCGGTGTTTTTGGTGTGAGGCTCAGGGGGGTTAAACTCGCTCCGCGGCCGAGTTGGTGTGGGAACGTCCAGGTGTTTTGTTAGGCATTTTCCAGCATCTGACCTGCAAACCTCCTTGAAGTCCCGAGGCATCAGGTCTTGGGCGAAAAGTCTGGCACATGTCACGCACCTGTCGGCAATGGTCTGCTACAATCAAGAGACAATCTCTAGTCCCACGATGGGGCATATAGGCAAAAAGCGGAAGTTGACACTAAGGTGGAATATTATTCTCATGATAAATCTACAGTGGATGCCGGCAGCTACCTTATTGACCGGATGTTGAAGACAAATAGGTCTGAGAGCTTGTGGTCTAGAGGGAGCCTTATTGGGTTTGGGAGAAGGTGGATCCATCCCGCAATCCAATGAGGTGGAGGAGTGATCTCATCACCAAGCCAACAATGTTCGAACGTGGCATGAGTCGAGTGAACAAGGCCTTCGGGTCTCTACATGGCCTTCGTCTTTCTGAGTTGATTCTTTTTGGGCCAGCGTGACATGTGCTACATGTAGGGGCAAGTGGATGGCCAGCGTCAGAAAGGGTGCAAGGAACCAAGGTCTGGTTCACTCAGACCTGAGGTTTGCTTCAGCCCCGGGGTGGCCCGTTCGCTTCAAACCACACTTATCGCCAGCTTTGGGTGTCAACTGCGCCATCTCCTTGCTGAAGCACCTTGTGCCCCCGCGCGGCCGTCTCCGCGCGGCACCGGCTGTCCGAGGCCAAGCTGCTGCAGGACGCCGAGGCCGCTGCGCTGGAAGCGGTCAAGGCTGGAGGGAGCGGGAGGTCGGGAGCGGCGGAGGGAGTGAGTCGGGGACGGATGCATGACGTGTGAAAGTGGGTTAACGGTTTGGGGGGAGGGTGTAGTGGGTGGATGAAGACAGCTGTTTGAAGCTTTTGGTGGTGGATCATCTAGGGCTCCACACCCCCGAGCATGCGCTCGTTTTGGCAGGTGGCAGAGCCGCTTTCTGCCTCCAAGGCCGGGGAGACTCGACAGTGTGGAAGATGGTCTGATGACCAGATGAACATCAGGTCACGGTGAAGCCGGACATCCACATTGTTTTTTGGCCTCTTGCGGGGTGTGTGGTCCATCAGTTCACTTGAGCATGACTCAGCATGACCTATCTATCTCGATCGGGTACATCACGGTTTGGTGCCTGGTGCGAATACCTACAGTAATGAGATTGGGCTTACCTACCAGCACCTGGCCCTACAGATCAACAGGTCGCCAATGAAGCACCAAGGCCCAAACTTTTGAACGATGCTCGACATCGAGCTGTAAGGATATGTAAGGATTGGGTGCTGCTGCAAACCGAGGGTGACATCCCCCTGTTCAGCTTTTGCAAGGGACCCGCCCGCCCGGGCGGAGAGGCTGAGCCTGACCGCTGGGGTGATGAGACCTGGTTGCTGGCTGGAAGCTCAGCGGACTCGAGCCACGACTTGAAAATGCCACTTCTGGCTGTTTTTGTCTCTGTCCATTCATCCATCCACTTGTCCATCTCTGTGGGGTAAATTTGAAGCCATAAAGGCCATGTATAGCTCACAACAAGACTGCGAAAGTCTTGGAGCATATGTCCGGAACCCCACTGAGAGAATGAAGAAACCCGCCCTTCGCGTCAGGCGTCGGCCTGTTTCTTTTTTCCCTCCGGGAGGGGCAGGGGGGGGGGGGACCATGGCGACCGCCGACCGTGCGGCGGTCCCGGACCGCGGCGGAGTCGGTGTGGCGAGGCGAAGACCCGTCAGATCTTGGGGCCGACCAGGAGAAAGGCAGAGCGGGGAGGGGTGGAAGAGAGCCGAAGAAAGGGGGTAGTCGGTGGGAGGAGTGGAACAAGGGAATGTGTAGATTCATCAAGAGCCTATATGACATGATGCACCTGGGCAATCCAGATGTATTCAAGAATGATCTGGTTTGGAGCGAGTTCGTTTGAATGACTACTAGTGTCCCAGATAGTTTAACTTCAATGTCAGTTCGGAACACAACGGAGAAACATGGAGAAACTGCCATGCCCTTGTTCCCAGGTGTTGTCGTGGACCCCTCCTCCATTGTAGCTTTGGTGATGAGATGCTTTCGACCGCCAGGGCATCCTTGAACCTGTGACACGAACGGCGCTCCTGTCCAATCCAACGTATCTTGGTGACATCAGACGCTCGCAGACCTGTTCGTTACTCGCAGCAATTGTTAGACGGGATGTTGCCATGATCTGAGGCCGATCACCTCTGCCAATGCCAGCCCCCCGAAAAAAAAAGATGCGCTGTGTTGGGAACTTGCAACGAAGTATCATCACAGAAGCTGTGTTGGTTTGCTCGCCCCCCCTGAAGTCACGAACAGCAGATGGATTCAGATGATCCACTTGGACATGGCTCGGCCCCTGTGAAAGCCAACTCAAGCCATTAGACCTAGGACCGAACCGGTGTGAAAACGAGGTGGTGTGAGAAAACAGGCCTTATCGGTTTCAGAGGTTTGCAGGTGATTCCTTTCAAAAAGCTAGCATGTATATAGCTGCTCCAAGAAACTCAAGAAGGGGTGGCTTTGGATGCTACGGAGGAGTTGAGAGGCAGCTTGCACCAGGAACCAACTTTGAGGGTGCGCGACCATATACAATATTATGCATGTATATAATATATATATATATATATTACATAAAAACATATACATATACACACACATATATATAAATATGTGCAGTAGATTGCAGTAGTATGCTGACGAGTTCGGGGATTTTGAATTGTATAAACTATGGCAACTCCTTGATCCCCAGTGATTTTGGAAAGACACACCGTGCAACTCCTTGCGTGGCCTGATGTGTCATGCGGCTCATGGCGAAAGACCACGCTTTCTGGTGGTCACAGCCTTCGATTCCAGATACGAGGTGGGTTTCCTGTGTTCGGTGGTCAATGAGGCCTACTGCCAGCAACATGGCCATCGCTTCCGGAGGGTCTTGCTGAGCCCCGAGGACATGGCGAAGCTGGCTGGAGGTCGACACTTGGCCTGGGCCAAAGTGGCTTTGCTGCGAAACTTGTTGCGTGGAAGAGGCTATGACGGGTCGGCGAGTGGTGACTTTGAAGAAGACTTCGACTATTTGGTATGGATTGATGCTGATGCCTTGGTTTTGGATCACTCCGTGCGCTTGGAGGATTTTCTGGAACTGCCCGTGCCAGCGATGGACTTCATCATTGGAGAGGATATGGCGGACACAGACCTTTTGAATACTGGCCTCATGTTCTTCCGCCGCTCACAGTGGTGCCGCGAGCTGCTCCGAAGATGGTGGGAAGAGAGCGACCCAAAGTGGCACCAGGAGGTGTGCTGGGACCAGACTGGGCTCTGCCGTTTGCTGCGCCAAGATGGTTTCGGTCGTGAAGAGCCCTGGTATAGCTGGGCTGGTGGGGCCCGATACAAGAATTGGAAGGGCCACATCTTTACAGTTGACTTGGGATTACTTCAAGAAGTATTTTCTCGTTGTAGGGGACACCATATGCCATGCATTGCATTGGTCAACAGCAGGTCCTTCTGTCGTTCATTTTTGCCCAAACCACTTCCACCAATCCAGGTTGATTGTGGCAGCTTCAACTTCAAGTACTTAAACAACTGCGGCTTCGTCTTCCACGCGGTGGGCGAGCGCGAGCTGCTGCTCTCAGGCACTCGAAATCTACTCTTGAAGCGCGACCGCCTCTACATGGCTGTGCGCGACGGCTTTGTGCTCCATGGAGGCGATGCAAGCACCTGCCCCAGCGAAGCACTGGGGCTTCTGCCTGCGGCGGAGGTACCGGAGGCCAAGGCGAGTGACGTTGAAAGTCTGGTCAGGTTCCAACAAGGCATGTCAACCTGGAGATGACAACTTTCCACAACAGCTGTATTTGAAGCATAACGCCCCCCCAACAAAGATCTTTCTTTCTTTCTTTCTTTCTTTTTCTTTCTTTCTTTCTTTCTTTCTTTCTTTCTCTCTTTTTCACTTTTCTCTTCATCTCTGCAGTTTCCATAGGCATAGTCTATGATAGTCTATCACCAATTGAGGGGAAGACATGTTGGCCGTTTTTCGGCACTGTCAAGGTGAACCTGGAAAGGGCCCAACAGTTCTGGCGCTGCTTTGGGCTTTCCAAAACCAAGAAGCTGCAGCCCCCGCCATTCGGATGGGAGCTGCAATGCTTAAGCCATGCGTGGAATGGGCGGCCGGTCCCCAACAAGGACAAACCGTGTGGGGAAGAAGATGTCGGCTCGCGCCTTGCCCTGGAAAAAAGAAAGCTTAGAACATGAGAGAGTCATTCGGCAGCAACAACTGCCTGGAATGCTTGGAGCTCACTTCCCGGCCCCGTCGTTCGACCTTCGACCGTCGCCTGTTCCGCTCGGAAGGAGGGCGCGGACGCGCACCCGGGTCGCGGTACGGCGCCGTACCCTACTACGTGCCGCGCGGGGGCGAAGGGCGTGAGCCCGGGGCGCTTGGCCCAGCATCTGGGGGAGTTGCCAGTACAGCTTGGCCAGGAAGCTGGAGGAAAGCAGATTCGTATGCGCTTCTGGCAGCTTTGTAGCCACTGAGCTGCAAAGGAAGCAGGTTGTGGAGAGTTCTTTCATGTTCTTTGAGTCGTCATTTGAACCCTTTCAAGGTGAGTTCTCTTCTTTTTTCAATGTGTACTACCTTCGCTTCCTAAACTATATAAGATAGACAGATAGGCAATGATATACTAGACAATGACATACAGATATATACAGTATGCACTTCCCAAGGGCCTTTGTTCTTCGTTCCGTATGTCTTCCCAGGCTCCGCTTTTTCCGATTTGACCAACCTGACTCCCCTTTCCCTCCCCTTTCCTCACCTTCCTCAAGGCTATGTCTCGGGGCCTTTGCCGCCGTTCGGTCCCTTACACTTCACCATGAGCCCCGGCCAGCCGCATCCCTGGCGCTTGGAAGCCTGGAGTCCTTGGGCGCAGCATGGAGAGTTGCTGGAGGAGATCCAAGAAATGAGGAACTGGAGTGTGGAGGCCAGCCGCTCAGGGGGCTCAGGGGTTTGAGGAATGGAGATCCAAGTGCTTGGCGGCTAGCTTCGGGTGATTCAGGGATGAAGTTGTCCTTTGTGGGCCACCAGAATGAGCTGCCACATTTCTTCTTTTTCTTGGGAGCTTTTTGGTAGGAGGTTTCCGAGCTTTGGTAGGAGGTTTCCGAGCACCCTACGGTGCTCGGCCCTCGAGTAAACGCAAGCCACCGCACGGCCCATCCAACCCAGAACAAAGCGTTGGCTCAAGCAGCGAGCAGCTCTGAATGGTGCATGGGGGGTTCTGAAAGTGCATGCAAGTGTGGACACCTTTGCTGAGTTGAGGAGCTGACATCCCGAAAAGGAGCACAGGGTCTTGAAACATAAGGCTGGGCCGGGCCGTACGATGTTTTTAGCCCCATGCCCCCTCAACCAAAGCAGCTGAACAACCCTGAAGTGCTGCCATCTTCTACTGACATTTATAGTCCGTTGACTCCGCCGCCCCCCAAGTTGGGGGTACAGGGCAAGTGCATACACAGAAATCGCTTAAACATGTCAAGACATGTCAAGACTGTAGTGCTAAGCACCTCAAAATCTTGAACAACTTATTGTTTCTTGATGTCCCAGAGCCTTATATATTTATAGATGCCCCTCATTGCAGGCAGCCAGCCCCAGGAGCATTTGCCAAACATCACCCAACCCAGCTGAAAAACGGTTGAAGATCCTTTCGTCATCTTCCGATGGACTGCGATGTGGGCGGCCCCAGTTCCTTTGTCCAGCGCCTGCAGCAGCGCGGTCCCCTCGGGCACCGCCCGCGGGTGCTCGTGCGCGGCACGCCCCGCGCGCCGCGCGCGGGCGATGAAGCGGGGGTTTCGGCGCTGAGGGAGGCGGTCAAGGCGATCTGCAGCGAGACGTTTTCCGGAGTCTGGGGCCGCAGAGAGGTGGAACGGTGGATCGGGCCAAGAGGTTGATCGGGGCTGTGCCGTCTCCACCGAGGCAGTCGAGAGCAGCTGTACCGACATGTAGAAGCTCTCTGCGTTTCAGGTCGCGGCCAGTGGCTTGGCACCAAGCTTCAAGGGTCACACTGCTTGAAATAATCATAAAAGTGGACAATAGGCCTCTTGAATGAGCATTTTTCGAATACCAAACAGGTGGCGCCATCCGCTTCCACGATGTTTTCGGGGCGTGCACACCCCCAAAAACTGGTTCAGGGACCTAAAGCATGAGTTTGTAAAGGACGCGTTTCTTCCAGGTGGAGGGCTCCCGGCACACCATGGCCTCCCTATTACATTAGCCGTGTAGACCGAAAAAAAGACTATAGACGCTTGAAGCTGGCTGCAGGTCGTGCCAAGTGGAGAAAGGGATTTGAGTTTCATAGGCTAGGGCTCTGTGTTCCTTTCAAGATGCCTCATCCGCCCCGATCACCTGCCTGCCGGGCCGTGCACCCTGGCAGCGTTACGTTTTCTATTATGTATAGGCCGTTTTTTGCTTGCTTGCTCCTTCTCCTGCGGGGTTTGTCGCACCGGTCTGGTGTGCCGGGTTGTTTCTTTTTTTTTCTCTCCGCACTAGGCAGGTCTTCCAGGAGCTCCTGGAGGAGGTCGCTACTCAGCTGGACCTGCACCTAGCCACAGTGGCCGACAGGGAGGACAGCCAGCTGCAAGAGTTGGTTTGTGCGGCCTGGCAAGGGACGAAGAACCAGTCGTCGCTCTTTTTCTGGTTGGGTGGTCTGATTCGACATGGTCGTTTGGTTCTACCAGGACTGGATCCAGGCACCTGCTCACAGATAGGGGCTTAGGCTTATATATATATATACACCTAGATCTTCAGTCCGGCACTTTTACAGGGTCCGGCGCCGGACTTCCAACTCCGGCGTTTTTCTGGATTTGGTCCGGCGCTTTTTCCAAGTCACTTTATGTGGATTCTCAAGGCTTTGCATTCTTTGTGGTCTGCATTTCTTTGAAGGTAAACCCACTACTGATGCAATGATTATGTTTGCAAAGTGTGCTCGTTTGCCTGTTCCGCTGTTTTCTCATTCCACCGGTTTCAGCATGGTTCACACTGAATCAATCAGATCCGTTTAGGTGATCTTCTAAATGAAATCGGATGAAGCCGGTACAGTGCGATGCACCTGTTGAAAGACCCAAGTGGGCGTACCTAAGCCGAAAGAGCATAGGCAAAACTGTGCTCCCATTGTTTCAGGATGTCGGGGCGCTGGGATATAGTTTTAGTTGCGCAGGTTTGCAGAGCCTGCCGGACAAGTTTTGGGCTGTGGAACATGTGTTGTTCAGAATCTCAATGTTTTGCAGAGAGTTGTCAAAAAATGGCACGTCGTAACTCCGGCGTAATTTCCCGTAACTCCGGCGTAATTTCCCGTAATTCCGACGTATTTTTTTGGACTGAGTTTTGTGCAGGCCTTGACTTTGAACAGTTTTTCAGAGAAGAGTCTTGACAGGAACCATGAGTTCTGCTACTTTATTGCGGGGCCGTCCTGAGGCAAGCTTTAAAGAAACATTAAGAAGCATAAGAATCATGGAGCGCAACCCACTTTGCAAAAAAACACTTTAGAGACACGGTTGCAGAGAAAGATGAGTTCATTGCCGCATGCTCATTGGTTTCTTCTTGGAAGTCTTTGCTTGGGCACAAATTGCTTATATTTTGTGATGGTTCTGCTCTTAGGCCATTCGGAAGATGGGCGAGGGCAATGGGAACGGGAAGGTTCGCGGCGCAAAGGCAATTTCCTTGTGTATGATCCAACCTTTTATCATCTCTGTTTTTCAGAATCTTGGATCCGGATGTTTTTCTCAGGTCTCCGGCATTTTTTTCGGAATCGGGTGGACAAATTTGCTGGATTGAGGTCCGGCACTTTTTTCCGCCCAAAGGAGGATCCAGGTTTTGTCTCTCTCTCTCTCTCTCTCTAAACGATGCTGAAGGTTCAAGAATCAATGGGGCTTCTCAGACGGACGTTTCTTCAGCCCAGGCTTTTTGGGTTTCTCAAGCAATCCCCAGGCGGGCTGAAACAGCTCGGCGGGGTCTTGGGAGGTGACGAAAGGCTCCGAATCTGCTGGTCCGGAGCTTCCTTTGTTCGGGTCGAGCGAAGATGGGGCGGTGGTCCTGTGAGTCATGGTGAGGTCTGGAGGAAGATGGGGCGGGTTTTCAAGGACCTCTGCAAGATCCTTGGCTGAACTTGTTCGGCACCGTGGCTAGCCTAGCCACATCTGCAGGTGATTTACAAAACCTTCCCATTTGGAAATGTAAAGCCAATTCATCTGGGGTGGGGGGTTTTAGTAATGAAGTTTCTCCCTTACTGTGGGTAAGTACCATGGTGCCACAGCAGAAAATCCTTAGCCTCTCATTCCTTTGGAGGTGCTGGGGCGGGAGTGTTTCATCCCTCCATTCCGCCGACGAGGCCTGTGAAATACCAAGCATCGGGCACTAGCCACAGGTGGCGCTGGTGGTGTGAACGAAGCTGGCTTTTTGTACACGCCGCCAGCCACTCCGCCAGCCACTCCGCGTGCCACTCCGCGTGCCACTCCGACCCCACTCCGCATGAACCGCGTGAAAAGTCCGACGGAGAAGGGCCACAGGAGTACCACTGAACGCTGGGTCCGGTCCGCTGAGGATCTACAGCTTCCTGGACCGCTCTCGGAACCCACGACGAGAGGCGCCGTGGTGAATGCTTGGGGTGGCCTTTCCACAAGAGGACCAACATTCTCAACAAACAGGGGTTCAGATAGTTTTCCGCTGCGCACGGGCCCGCCTCTTGAGCTCTCTCGCTACTGTTGTGGCATCTGCCAACCAACTATCAAGTCCAAACCGGCGAACCTGAGTCCCGGCAACTCTGTCAGCTTCTCATGGCGCCTCAAGGCCTTCGCCGACCTCTTCCGCGCGCGCCTGGCCGCCGCGCTCGACGGAGCGTCGCTCCGGGCGGCGGCCGCCGCCGGCGCGCGGCGGCTGCTGGACGCCGAACGGCGGCAGGAGGCCGGAGGTCGCTGGTTCTTGGTGGACAACCAGCATAGACCCCAGATAGCAACAGATATTTGTGGGCAGCATCATTGCAGCGGCACAGGCTCCAAAGCACACACTGCCATAAAACTCTGGCAGCAGCACCCTGCCGCGGCACCGGCACCCAAGCTCCAAAACACACACAGGCCCCTCTTCCTATTCTTGAAGTAGGAACATGTAAGAACCCCAATGAGGAAGCCACAATCACCAAAAACAACATGCGTTTACTGTATCCTGCTTGGGTTTTGTCACGTTGTGTCCCTTGATACATTTGCTTGGTGGGGTGACCGTCGCCTTGATGGGCGCCGGTCGTGCTGCCCTTGGGCCGCTCCTTGGCCTGGAGGCCATGGACCCGGAGCTCTTGAAGTCGCTGGTGGAGCTCCTCCGGAGCCTGGACTTCTACAAGGACTTTGAGGTGGCCTTTCTGGAGCAAAGTGCCCAGTTCTACCGCGAGGCCATGGCATCTCTCGCATGAAAAAGAGCCTTCGAGCTACGAACTGCTCTGGCAGGCAGTTCAAGTGTGTGAAGAAGAACTGTCTAAGGTGGGGTCTTGGTTGGTGGAATCACTGGTAGAGACGGAGGCCCCAAAATCCAAAGCCCCTTGCTGGCCACTTCAGCTGTGTGCCTGATGGATTGCCGGGTTTCCCCTTGTCGAGGGGACCTGGCAGGCATCGGACTGCTGGCAGCGGGAGAAGTCCTTGGCGGAGTATTTGCTCCTTGCGGACGAGCATTTGAAGGCCTTTTGGGACCCCGGTGCCTTAGATTCCACTGTTGGCATGATGAGCGACCGCCCAACCTCGACAGACCATGTTGAAGTAGCGTGTGCCGGACCTGGAAGGTGTCAAATCATGTGCCATTTGGACCAAGGCCAGACACTTCCCCGAAGCTCCCAGATCAGAAGCACAGTTCGGCTAGGTTTCAGGTCTCACTGTCCCGGACCCGGAGGGTTCTGGACAGGTCCGAGGTGGTGTTTTTTGTTCGTTTGGCTTTTATTCTTATTTTCTTAGAGCTCCATCCCACCCAAAGCGAAGCATATCGATCCAGGATCCCCCCGTTTGGGGTGTCTATGAGTAGGTTTGGCCCGGTTCATGGGTGTCCATGAATCGTCCCGACCGTGAGGGACAAACGTTCATGGAGGCCGAAGAGCAGCGATGTGACACATATCACCTGGAGCCTTCTACACTGCAGCAGCTGGGGCCGCATACTGTAGGGGATGTGTCTTGGGGTGAGGCAACGCGGTTTTTGAGAGAAGGGTGTTGAGGGAGGGGGAGCAAAGCATGTTCTTTAGACACGTCATGGATGATGCAGTACTCAGTGTGAGGTTGGAGTGAGGGTCATTTTGGAAAGACTGCCAGATGATGGAGCATTCATTCTATGACCATGTCCTTGCTTCTTCTTGAAAGATGTGCCAACAAAGCGATTCGATCTCGGATATCGCGGACACCGGATTCTGAAGAATGTCCGGATGCGGCGAGGCCTTTGCTGGAGGTGCTGCGCCAAGAGGTTTTGGCCAAGAAGGCTGAAGACCTCCTGGAGTTGGGCTTTGCCCAACTCGTCTGCGACGTGCAGGCCATAAACACGCCACGCAGGAAAATACGCATACAATAGAATTGCGTTGAAAGGCCACTCTCCGCCCGCAGTAAAGCCGTAGCATTCGCTCCTTGAAGTGTGGGTCCCGCGGAAGAGATGCTCTGACTCTAACATGGAAGTGGATGGCATGACCTGTGGGAGGATGATGTTCCTCAACTAGAGAGGCTTTAGTATCCACTTCGTTTTCGTTTTCGCGGGAGCGTACCATGTCAGACCTCCACCCCCCACCGGGGCCTTGGTTGCCAGGTGAGTGATCTTGGACGCCTCTATAGGCACTACAAGGCGCCATCTCAGTGTGGATGCAGTCGTTGTGCGGGGCATGGGGCATGGGGAAATGGAGGAAGCCTTCACACAAAAGCTTCAAGGCTTTGGAAGGGTGCTCTAAGCAGGTGGCTCTTCCAGCACTGGGGGGAAAGGGGGTGTTGGGATTCTACCAAGGGGAGTCAGGAGGCGTGTCACCGTTTGGGCGAAGGCGTGTCGCCGTTTGGGCGACCAGGTGGTCCTAACCGCAAGAGGACTTTCATCACCATACACCTTACAAGGCCAGTGGACAAGATTGAGACCTGTCCTGTTTAGGAGAATGTGGTTTGTTGGACTTGATGGATTCTTTTTTGGGTTAACTGCTGAACACTCCAGGCAGAAGCGATCCCTACATCAAAGCCCTGGCGGCATCATTACGTTGCCAGAAAACTGGCAGGAGATAGAAACTACTTGTCGTGGTCCAGAACTAGGGCTGATAGAAACTCCATTCTTGACGTTCTTTTTCTCGGACCTGCCTGGTCTGGTACAATCGATCAACCCGCCAAACGGGGCTTCCCCGAACGCCAAACGGTGCAGGAGGTCGACGCCCTCGCGCACCTGCGGAAGGCCTTTGGCGAGGCCGTGCGGCAGGCCAGGGCGTGCGCGCCAGGCGAGGGTTGGAGCCTTCGTGTGAAGCGGAGAAGGCTGGATGCATGTGCCAAGACCTTCCCAGTGACCTCTTCAGCATTGGTAAGTGACCTGAAATCAAGACCTGTTCGTGACCCCAGCCACTGGGATCTCAAGTTCGGTCACTGGGAAGGTCCTGGTGGGTGTATATCAAAATAGGAGACCACCCAACCCACTGGTTGGATACATGGTCAGGAGGGCCAACGTCCAGCACTTTGAGGGTGCATCAACACAGGGAGGGCTCCAGCTGGGGGCTCCAGTGTTGCTTCATGGCAGTCTGAGGGTTTTGAAGAGAAACAGAAACCCTAGAAGTCCAAAGACTATATTTTGACCGACTGAAGTAAAGGAAATTCCTTTTCGGGTCACCTAAAGACCGTTCTTTTTATGGTCTTTGACTCCCAGGGGAAAGGCACAAGTCTGTTCGTTCAGTGCCTCACCTGCATGGGTTGAGTCGAGGTTCACCACCCCCTAAGCGGTTCCGCGGAAGCACTCGGAGTGCTTCCTGCGGGTCAACGAGGCCGCACACCCACCGCCATAGCTCGGTAGGTCATTCTTGAGTTTCAGCCCCTCCCGGGACCGACCGGTTGGACCATCCGGAACCAATGGACTACCCAAACAACCGGAAACAAATGGTGGTTCCAATACGGCACTTGAAGTCCTTTACGAAATAGCTGGGGCTGGGGAAACATCCATGGTCCATTTTCTTTCTGGTTCTTTTGGTTTCCAGGTTAGAGATGTCCACATTGGACCACCCAAACCAGGATGGTCCAGGCAAGTTTCGAACGGCCAGGGTGGGCGCCGCGCCATGCAGAGCAGCGAGGACGCCAAGCAGGTGGTCCCCGAGCTGGTTCGATGGCTTGGCTCCACGCAGGAGGCACCGGGATCCCGTGGGTGGCGGGTGCCAGGAAGGTGTGTGTTGAGGGCACGGTCACATTGGAGTGAGAAAGAGAAAGCACCAGCTGAGTTGGAGGAAGGGCAGCCGGGTCGACGCAGCTAGTCGCTGGTGCTGACACAGCCTGTCCCTGTTGAAGATGGTGTCGACTCTTACGGCGCTTCGGTGACTGAGCTCTCGCCGCTCGCTGCGTGGTCCGAGGTGCTGAGCCTTGCCTTCGGAAACGATGCAGGTTCGGCCATCGCGCAGAAGGAGGCCTTTGAAGGACGGACCGTTGTTGCCTTTTGGCGTCGCGAGAGGCAGAAGACCTTCAGAATGGAGCAAGAAGCATGGACCTTACAAAAGATGGAGGCCTGAACTCGCTGTCGCTCATTCATGGGCCATCTGGAGTTTGATGTTTCCTGGGCCATCGTCGCAGAGATCATTTCATGTCCTGCCTCCACCAAAACCTCCATGCCATTCCATGCCCTTTCCATGCCCTTTCCGCCCCTCCGCTCCCCCGAAAAAGGATTCCTCAATGCGGCGCCGAACCACGCGGCCAAACTGCGGCGCGGCCGCTTCCGCGAGCGACGGGTTCGGTGACGCCAAGGAAGGTCCGTCCGTGCTTTTGGTGTGAGGTGTGGCGCGGATTGGGGGTGTTCAACCATCGGTTTGGCCCCAAAGGAAGACCAGGTAGGGCGGGTCTGATGTGGGCCTCGGTGTGGCGCGACTGCCCGCTGCGGAACCGGATTTTTGGGTCGACACATGTCGACCCCCCGTGTCCCTCGGTCCAAGTGGAACCGGCCTGTGCTCAAGAGCACGCAGCTAGAGAGATCCGGCACCTCCGGTGCTGTGCTCAGTCCCACTGGCTCTTGTGTGAACGGCAATTGGGTGTGCATGTGTATTTTGGGAGAGCCCCTGGCCCAATGGGTAGACTATGGTAGACTGGTCTATTTTCCTTCTTCATTGGGGTTGAACTGGAAGGTCTCCCTACTTCACAGCCGAGGTTGACGCGGTACCTGGATGTCTTGCTGCGGGGTGACGAGGTCACGTGCCATGGCGCGAGGGTGACCGAAAGTCGCGTGGGGTGAGGGCCATCTAAGTGGTCCCTGATAAGAGGCAACAGAGGTCAAGTGACCTTATAGGACCCTACAGGGGTACCTATAGACTATTATAGGATAGTCTATAGGGTTCTTCAGCCTTTGCTGGAGTAGACACGTGAATTCCTGTTGTATTGTTTTTACCTCAATTTCTACCCCTTTGGGCGATCTCCTTGTGAGATAAACTTCCAGGCAAACCACCCAGCGTAATAGTCTATAGTCATCTATAGTCCATCTTTGGCATTCTTCGGCCCCCTCCAAGGCACCAACAAACCTGACAGGATCCTAAAACCCCTTCTCCGACCAAAGTGACCCTGAAAAGACAGGAACTGAAGATCCAAGCCAAACGGAGCCCCACCACCGAAAAACGCATAGCGACGCGGCATGTGACCGAAGTCTATGAGTCGAAGATCGCTTGTGGGGCGCCATGGTTGGATCGCGAGTTGCTGGACCTTTTGGGATGCCATATTAAGGATTAGACGATGCTAGACTCTAGACGGACAGTGTGACAATCGTCATTTGGCTGAAGGGGTTCCAACCCCCTTCAGCCCAATCCTCTCCACCCGCGGATCCAAGAAGGGGCCCAGCTACCAACCTTTTCATCTGATCTGCACACACTAGGATTTTTTCTCCATGGACATTGATACCTGAACCTTCAAGGGGTGTCCAATGGAGGTCCCTTAGTAGTGTAGGGCCTTCCATTGGTGATCCCTTTGAAGGATCCACTCGACTCGATCCTCTACCGCGCACCGCGCAGCGCGGAGCCGCCAGAGCCGAGCCGCTGAGGCCGGCCGAGCCGCTCGCCTTTGCACCACCAGCACGTGTGGAGAAGGAGAGCTTGGAGGCGGAAATCAGGAGGGTGTGGTTGGTGGGCCTCATCCGGGGGGGGGGGGGCGGCGTGTGGTTTCCGTTCTCGCCCCGAAGTCTAGAGGGTTGTAGAACCACCCAGCCCAGACGATCTGGCAAGGTGGCAGGGTGAGGGCGTCCGACTACAAGACCTCCCAAAATGCTCACCCGCCCGAGAAGCGTGGTGGCCGTCGCGTCACGCGGCCCGTTTTCACGGGGTCCGTAAAAAAGCGAGGTGCGCATCCAGCGAGCGCTGCAGAAGCTTCGGTGGCAGTGCCAATGAGTCTTCCTGTGATGTGAATCACGAGTATTTTTTGTATATATGCACATTGGTATTAATATGTACTGCGTATATTACAAAATCTAAAGTTCTCTTTTCTTGACACGGGAGCGATAGGCTGGCCCAAGGGATTCACAGGCTCAATAGGCTCATGTTTGTTCCGTCGAACACTCAGGATCTTCCGGTACTTGGCCGCTAAAGACGCGCGCGGACGCCCAGCCAGGTCGGAACCCAGGACGCATCATGACAGGACGGAGCAGATGGATGCGTCGAACAAGAGCGACTCTTTGGATCATTTCCTCTGGTTTTGGGACCGATTTGTCGGAGGTCCAATTGAACTTCACATGGTGAATCACTCGGATGAGTGTAGTGTCGTCTACGGTTGATTGAAGATTCACCCGTGTCATGTCAGGCACTTCAATCCATCTGATTGTAGAGAAAATATATAGGTCTTTCCCGGGGGCCTATTGTCTACTTCCATTTTTATTGGATGGTGGGTGACCTTGAGACATGGCCTGCTTTTGACGACGAGGCACTTGCGGTGTCGTGCAACGTTCCACTGGCTACATCCATTGGTGTGGTCAGACGGCCAAAGGAAACCCCACAGAGTTCAACCACACGTGCGACGATTTTACCCTAGCCTTCCAAGACCATTGAGTCATTAAGAGAAAGGTTGACCTGGTTTTGTAGTCTGAAACCCTTTGGAACAATGACTCTCCGGGAAACACCATCAAAACAATAGTTGTTGGAAGCCTAATTATAAGGCTTATACCACAATTCGATGCAATTCTTTTTGGGCAATGATGTTGATCGCAGATTGTGGCGACCTGAGCCGGACTCAGTCGACTCTGGCGTCAAGTCGACTTCGGAACCGCAAAAAGACGTCAAGGGTCTCAAGGGTCCGGCGATGGATCCAGAGTGGGTGGGGGCTTCGCAGTGAGGTTCGAGGCCTTCTTCAAGAAGGACTTGGCCAAGCGGCTCCTGCAACGCTCTGCCTCTGAAGGGGAGCTGGCGGCGACCACGTGGCTGCGAGAGGAGTGTGGCGGCGCCTACACCGCGGGTCGCTGGGCAAGGAAGCAGAGAGGCAGGTGATGTGTGCTTTGGCATGTGGCTGTGTCACACTGAGCTGCCAAACTGAGTCTAACCACTCGTCGATCTGAAGGATGCACACCTGGCAAACGTAGCAAGAACCCTTGTTGCTCAGAACTCCACCAGGTCGGTCAGGTACCTTGTTGCTGGGAACACCCCAGTCTTCTCCCACCCCTAGCAGCTAGCACCCCTCCCAAAGCCTGGGTTAGTTCACCGTCGTCACCTCCCGCCGGACCAGGGGCTTCAGCACTGGATTCTGGCGCTGGCCCAGGCTTCTCCCCCGGTCAGTCCACACACAGCAGGAACGCAGCCTCCACCTGGGGGAAAGGTGGAGGCATACCGCATCAAACCACTTCCGAAGTCTTCGGCGTATGTGAGCTGAGTCGGCCGAGGCATCGAAGGCATGTTCCAAGACATGGAGATCTCGCGCGTCTTGGCGCAAGTCTTTCACTCGGAGGCCAAGACCCTCCTCGAGGAACGGGCAGATTGGAAGACTTGCACCATCCACTCGTGGAATCTCGTTGAGAAGATCATGGATCTATTATATATTGTTTCATATTGTTTCTGTTTTCATTGAATTTATTCAGTAACGTTGATAATGAAGTATTTACGCAATGAACATTTCAACTGACTTCCCCTCAAGAAGACTTCCAATGTTTGTTTCGGCAAGTTCCACTGATGGCTGTCGGCATGGCCGGCCAACCAGCACACGGCAGAGTTGTGTTCCCTCGCCCCTCTTCATAGCGATGTCTCTCAAAAGCCATTCGTCGGCTGCCAGGAGCTGCAGGTCGACTTTCAGGCTGGTCAGACCTTTCGAAGGAGAAGAGGCACACAGGAGAAGAGACCTTCAGCTTGCCACTCCCGTTTGTCGCAAACAACAAGCCTCAGCTGTCGTTAGGCCATCGGTTAGGCCCTAAGCCTTCGTCTTTCTGGCATCGGCGACCAATCACTGGATGCCAGACTTTTCAACCTCAATTGGCAACTTTTATGTGTGCCAGGTTGCGATATGTGCGTCCCTGACATGGATAGAGCTCATCCAGAGTTTTCTAGAGGTTGCCATCTGTTGGTGGGTAAAACAGTTCTTTATGATTCTTGCAATGTTCTTGATCTCTATTTCGCTTCACTTTCTCTCGATAAAAAGCAGGAGACGCCACTTTGTGCATGATTTTCGATCGTTCGAGCACCCATTTGCGCAGCTTGGGTTCACCCAAGCTGACCACCCCTCTGCTACAGATCTGCCTCTCGGAGGTCTCGGTGCTCACCACTGGAAAGTGGCCCTCCGTGCCTTCAAGCCCGGCCATCAAGCTGCCCATGCCGATCCAACGGCTCATGACCGACCCGACCCGATCCCGGTCCGGTTGAGACCGGAACCTTGGGGCGAGAGGGTTGGACCGGTTGGAGCGGTTGGTGCAAGAAAAAGCACACGAAACGGCGGTGTTTTTCTTTATGTTTTGGAGTGTAGTGCCGTTTTGGACGACGATCGGGTCTGTCTCTAGGATCCTCTATGGGTGGGTCAACCCGGTGGTGCCAGCTTGTGCTAGGAAGCTTGACAGGTGAGTCAAGTGGGTAGTGAGGATCTCAGATGTGGCTGGAGTGGGTCTTGTGACAGGTCCATGAGGTTTCTGAACTTCCGCGTGTCACACAATCCGGATTCCAACAGATGGCGCTCACTTCTTGCAACCATGGTCTTGTGATGGCTCAGTGGCTTCGGGTTTGCGGCTCTTTTTCGTGCCTCCCATTGGGGCCCCCAGAGCTTCAAAACGCTTCAACTCTTCAACCCTGAGATGTTGTTCTCTCCTGTGCCAACCGCGTCCGGCCTTTCACTGTTCTTGGGCGCCATCGCGAGTCGTCGACCGGCAGGACTTCCTTCGAAGCGTTCTACGGCCAACAGCACCGTGGTCGCAGCCTCCGCTGGTGTCCTGCGTGGGGTCGCTGCTGGCTGCGGGCGAATGCTGCTGCGAAGAAGGAGCTGGTGGTCTCGCACTTCCAGGCGGCGCCGACACGTCGGTGGAATCTGGCTCTGCCCTTCTGACCATGATCGAATGATGAAGGAGATCCTGGAGCGTCAACTCATGACAACGACCTCCAACATCGTGATGCTAGAAGATTTCTTCTAGTGAAGCCTTCCCTTCAGTCACTCCAGTCTCATTTGCAGCTTCGATCAGGCGTATCGCCATCTCCATGATCTCTCCATTTGGCCAGGCCCTGGTGCTGCTTTGCTTCAACGGCTCAGATGTCCTTAGCTACGAGAAGCTGCAGGAGCTGACGCAGATCCCGCCCGCCGAGCTCCAGCTGACGCTGCAGAGCTTGTCTCTGCACCGGACGGTGAAGCTACTGCTGATGCATGACGGCACCGGATGGCACTGGCACGGCACTGGAGTGCAGGTCACGTAGGTGCACCACTTGGGGATGGCTCGTGACGTTCGCCCCACCAGCCCACCATGCTTCGAATCAACGACCAGTCCAGTCAAGCAAGGCATGAAGGGTGTTTAGACGACGGCACTGGCGAATTCAGCATGTGGGTGTTTAGAAGGGGTGTTTAGACGCTTATGTCTCGACTTCGCGAGCCTTCTGCGGCCACAAAACCCACGCCGAAGATGCTCAGGAAGGAGAACCCCAAGGAGAGAGACGTGTTGCCTGGCGAGACCTTCTCCTACCATGCCAACTTCACCCACAAGCTCTACCGGATCACTGTTTCACAAATCTCGCCCAAGGAGCTTGGTGGAGATGGGTGTGGGTGGACCCGGCCTGGGAAACGGAGCCGATCCGGGCTTTTACTGGAGACCCCATTCCAACCAACATGGAAGTGGACAATCGCCTGTTTGTAGAGGAAAAGGGTCTTCCCAGGGCAGGCCATGCCGCCATGCCACTTCCATGATGGTTTCAGGGAGGATATGACTTACTGTGTGAAGAGACCGCAACATGGATAGGATAGTTTCCCTGTGGTGGATGTTGCCACGGTTGCGATGCTGTTCGTGAGCGGTTTTCATGGGCGAGTTAAAGAAACTCGCAGGGCGGAGAACGCATGGATCAAGTCCTGGTTTCATGTAATCCCACACATCCGCGTAACTTGCACGGAACTTGGCGCGAATCCTCTGGACTTGTTGGCTCCAGGAGCAGCTGCAAGAGGAAGACGCTGTGGAACAGCGTGTGGTAGGCGCGGCAAATCGGGCAAAACCCCCAGTTCCACGTGCACCCCCTGCGGATTGTGATGAAAGGTGCTCCCCTCCTCCCATGTTTATTCTGTTCAGTTCGCAGCTGTTCACAAAGGTTGCCAGTCACAGAGTTAGTTCCTCCACGCTGGGCAAGCTGGCAAAGGACACCAGTTTTGTCGTCTCTGCCGATGGTCAGTCTAGTAAGAGTCTATAGTCATCTACTGTAAAGTCCATAGTATGAACAGTTTTTGGATCAAACCAACTGCTCAAGCATGGTAATTAGTAGTTTCCTGGGTCCGTTTGGATCGGGCGAATTCCAGCACTTCTGACCTTCCAGCCCCTTCCATCGAAGAACCACCAGGGAGCCGGCAGCACGAGTTGGATGCAGTGGTCATCCGTGTGATGACGCTGGGACGCACGGGTGAGCGGACCCAAAAAGCCAGCGGACAAAAGCAAGCAATGGAGGCACTTGGGGTTTCCATCACCAATCTGGTCATCCTCAAGGACGATGAAAACGTATGACTATGCATCTCAAACATGGCCCTCAGTGGGCAACTCCAACCTTGCACAAGCAGCACAACCCCTTTGGTTCGACAGGGGCAGTCCAAAAGAAGGACTGCAAGGTAGATAGGACATCAGACCCCCAAAGGCTCATGACAGATTACACGCATCTTGTGGCGCATCCCCACATCTCAGGAAGTCGAAGAAGAGGATGACGCACCAGGAGGGCTTTCGCTCGCTCGAAAGCTGAGGAGTTCGCATGTCCCACGAAGCCTGGCCGAAATGTTTGGCAGACTCTTCCCCAACCACACCACCACAGAGAAGCTCCCTTCAACAAAACAACTAATATATAGTACATGAATCTGACATGCCCTGGGGCCCTGCAAAAGAACACTAGCCTCCTTGGCAGCAAGAGCCCCAGTGAGTACCTTGAGCCCAAATGGCTTGCGGTGCCCGCCTTTCTGTTGTGCGCCTCTGTGTTGAGTGGAGCGTGGCTCCTCAAGACCCTTCAACCATCGTCGGGCGCGAGGAGCTGCTGGCAGAGGTGCTCTCCTCGGTGCGCTTCCCCGTGGAGGCCGCGGAGCTGCAGCGGCGCATCGAGTCGCTCATAGAGCGTGAGTGCCGCACTCAGCGGGAGCCAGGGCCGGGAGCCAGCCTTTGGTTGGGGGGGTTGTTGAAGACCTGGCGGAGGATCTTAGGAGGCTTGAATGTAAAGGTCATGTTGCTACTGATTAACTTTTGTGATGAAAGACGATGAAAGTATGGTTGCAGCTGCTGGCACGTGTTGTTGATCTAGGGTGCATAGTTTTTGGAAGAATGAGGGGTTCCGCTTCTTTAGTTGGAAGTGGGTGGGAGACGCTTGCAAATCACAAGGGCGCAGCAGCTGACTTACGAGAGAGTGATCCTCTGGCCCTTGGAGTCTGTGAGAGTTTGTTGAACTGAAAGAGGTTCGGTACTGGAGGAGATCCCTGAAATGTGGTGCTGGTGCGAGGTATCTCGAGCGGCAGCCGCCCAATGACCAGGGCATCATCTCCTACATCTACTTGGCATGACCCGTTTGGCCGCACCAAAGTCGTGCGGTAAAGCAGCATGTGCGGTGAAAGCACGCGGGGGGCCTGATACTTGAGGGAGGAAGGCGCCCAGGGTTCCTGGAAAGACCAAGTATATAAGGCTTATTGTGGATCCTATGTACCCTAAGATGCCAGGGCACAAGGCTTGAATGTTCGGACAGTCCAGCTCACAATATGCCACACAGATTTGCACACCAGAAGCCTTGAGGGACCATGAGCACACCACACCACGAAGACTCCAAGATTATAATTCAATATGCTACATATAACTTATAACAGATTAACTAATAACCACCTCCTGCATGTCACAGGCAACCCCCATGTGCTGGGGGGTGATGTCAGTTTTTGCACCCGCCGGCCACCACCAGCTCATCCACCAGCTCGTCCGCTGGCACGCGGTCAATCGGAACGCGCCGACCAGGCCCACATGAAGGTGGATGGAGCAGCCAGGGATCCTGTGAGGATGGGCAGAGGGATTCCATGCAAGAGGGGCACCTCCTGCAGAGGTTGGTGGATTCTGAACGTATCCTAAAGTTTTTTGGGGTGAGGTGGGCGAACGTTTTCGGCTCGGTTGGGGCGAATCACTGGCACACACTTTCCGTGAAGTTGGCCTCTCCAGCTTGCAGTGGGCACACTGCTATTACTATTACTCTACACTATTCCCAGTTGACGATCTAAAGACTTCGAACATCATCACCATCATCGCCACTCGCCCAGTTGCAGAGTAGGGGCGAAGATGGCGGTCCGATCGCAAATTGAAGGTGCTCAATGTGGAAGAATAGAATGGCAGTGGACTGAGCCACCCCATTTAGGGTTTCACTTGATGTTCTGCCCCTCCATCATCCTGGGAGCCCGTCGCGTTCAAGAACGCACCCGCGCGGACCGGCCAAGCCATCCGTGCTTTTCAGGTCATCGATGTGGAGCCTAAGAGCTCCTACACTCGACCGATGCGGTGCATGGAGCCAGGTGCGAGTGAACTTGGGACATGGGAGAGGAAGAAACTCCAGGGTCTCCAGGTGAAGCGGTTCAGAAGCGGCGGTTCCCCCCTGGCCGCCATGGCTGGAGGAGGGCCACCGGGGCATTCTTCAGATTGCAAGTCTTGGGATGGGGAGCGCTTGGGAGCCAATCCCATTGCAGTGCTGCAGAACCTTGACCTACAACCAACCTCCAGGACTGGTATCCCGATGGCGTGAAACCTAGCTTTCGGATCAATGAAGAGTCTCACTTGCCCCCACGCACAATGTGTGGGAAGCATCTCATATCGTACCTTGGTCATATTTGGTCATACTTGATTAGTACCAAGGTCAACAGTCTCCTATTTAACAGACACCCACGCCCCATGGCCCTGAATCCTGCCATCGGCTGGACATCCAGGTCAGCTGGCCTTGCTGTGGGGCAAGAAGGACGGGATGACCTTGGACCCGGGGCATTCATGCAGTGGTCAAAGTCCATACGGGACCTCCTCGCCCCCCCACAGACATTTACCAGACTAGAAAACCATCCCAATTCTTCAGATGGTTGAAAACATTTGAAAACCAGCTTGGAGACCCCCCCCCTTTGACTCCAGCTCCCACAGCCCGCTTTTCCCAGGAGTTTTGGCTCTTCCCACCCAGCGCTGGTCCAGGGCCTCTCGGGGAACGCTGCGACCTCCACGACTCTCAGGAGGCCTGTGCTGGTTGCTGTGCTAGGGAGAGCCGGAGTGACGGAGGGACGCCGCTTGCCTCGTTCCGCGTGTTGCATCGACGCGGCCGGAAGCCCCCCGCCCTGGGCCGCCGCCCTCCATTCGGCACGGGTCGACCATGCTCTGGGGCCGCCAACTCGGGTGCGCAGCGGGTGGTTCCATTGACGGAGGCCCCGACGTTGACAGATTGAAGCAGTGGAGATGTGGGAGTTACGAAGAGCTGCAAGAGAAGATGCTTCGTGAACCCGTTCACCAGGGGGATGTGGTTAAGTCAAGTGAGCCGTAGACTTAGACTCTCTACGGTCCCTCGACCCAGCTACAAATTACTCTAGAACCCTCCAACAGCTCAATCTGCCGTAGCTTGAGCCCTAGGCCCGGGGGCACCGGCTGCCATGATTTTCCAGTTGCGCAGCTTCATGGACCCCTGGAACTGGTTTAGAGTAGAAAGCTGAAAGCTGCTGGACGTCCGGCACGCATGTCACATGGGTTGGTCCTTGCTTCCCAGCCCCCCTGTTTGGTCCGTTTGGTGAGGGTGCCGCACGGCCCGGTGCGGGTGCACCGCCGTGAGGTGAGCCGTTTGGCTGAGCTGGGGCCGTGGCAGACGGTGCTCGAAGAAGGTGCCCGGGTTCGGCTGAGGTTCGTCCGGCGATGCACGGGCAACCAAAGCCCCACACTTTCGGACAGAATCATGGAAGTGCTTGCCATGTTTGTGATGCAAATGAAGTGCTTGCCATACACATCGGTTGCAGATGACACCGGTGCCGGGGCGAAATGGTGTCGATTCCGGAAGGTTGGGAAGACGGCCATTGTGGGTGGATGTTGGGGTATTCTTAGGCTTGTGATTCCGGAATCAACTAAGGATTTTACACTACAAAAACATACAAAAACCAGGTCAAGCATTTTTTTAAATGGTCTTGGAAGTCTAGGGTTAGGCTTGTGATTCCGTTGGGTCGGATCATTTTTGCAGCATCCATCCCGTTTTGACACTTCCCTCCCCCTTGTCTTCGGCAGGTTTCTTCCTCAACAAACTCACCCACCTGCAGTGCGGCGACATGCACACAATCACACAGCACAGCTTTCGTCCTCCCGCACCGGAACCCGATGCAACACCAAGTCTCCGCGGGCTGAAGCCTCGTCTCCGCCATGGTGGCCGTCGTGACAGGCGATGTGCTGCTGGTGCCGGAGGGATGGTGGGTCGCCTCAAGGACCTTCGCGGCCACGGTGACCCTCAGGCGAGGGCTCCACCGCGTCGAAGCTGCGAGGCACACACCCATACACACCCATACACATCCATACGCCACCTGTTAAACGTATTAAACACTCACACAGTTGAAGTCAGGTTTGTTTGTTTATTCCTCCTTCCACGTTTCAAGCTTCTCTTCCAGCAGCTCCATGCAGGGTCCGTGGGTTCAACCCACGCCTGCCAGCGGGTGGAGGTAACGGTCCTTTTTGGGCCCAATGGGCTCAGCAAAGACTATAAAGAGAATGGTCGGTCATAGGGAGGCCTGAAGAACGGGTTATATATACTTCAGTCGGTCAATATATACTGTAGTCTTTGGATGCCTACCAGGACTTCTGGGGTGCTGGTAGGCATACATTGCTTTCCAAGTATAACAGGGCCAGGGAGCTGTTTTGGGGCTTTGGGAAAGCAATGAGGTGCGACATGTCTTTGTAGAGCGGCTTCTTAGAGTTTCGGGTCGTACTTCATGTTATATACTTCTTTCCATTTGTTTTTTCTCCGTTGGTTTCGAACAAGACTTGAACTTCTCAGGGCTCGAAGAAACAACCCACTTCCACTTCCATCTCAACAAAGGAAGCTCACCCATGCCCCCATCCCCCGGCCACGTGGGAGGCACCGCATTGTCTCCGGCTCGGGGACCCGAGGGCTGCGACTCCTGCCACGACCTTCCTGCCAGGACTCACGCGAATTACTTTGGGACTGACTGGGTCTTCAAGTGACGACCAGGTCTTTCGGTATGGCTCAGGTCGCCAACTGCAGCAGGCAAGGCCGTACTGAAAGAGAGGAGCAGATGGGTGCAGCAACGGTGTTTGTTGATTGCCATGTAATAATGTTCGTTTCTGTGCTCCGTTGCTGATCTTGGTGTCTGTCGGCAGTTGATTTTGTCTTCTTTGCCGCTTTGCCTTCTCTGTTGGGCTTGCATTGCCTTTACTTTTCGGCGGGCGGTTGTTCTCTGGCTTCTGGCTTTAGTGCTCTACAAGCCATAGCCGCTACCTGCATGTTGCCATTGCAGACCTCCTCTTCAGATGACATCCTCTATGACTATTAAAGTGGCCATGTGATCATGTGCAAGAAAGGCAAGCATGGATACCGGCCCTCCTTCCACCCAGGAGGCGTCCAAGCAGAGTAGGAGTTGTACGCCACAGTTGTGAGGGCCATCCGCCACCATGCTTTCTGCGCTGCCACGTGGACTCTAGTCCTCTGTCAGGCGAAGCAGATGTGCCGCTCGAGGGGCCCAGGTGCCGGGTCGCCCCCCCCCTCCCGTTAGAGTGGTGCTCTGGCGACGCCTGTAAGACCACTTAATATGAGTTGATGTTGTTTCTTTCAATGCGGAGCAGGTTTGACATGGAACTCAGCTGGAGAACTGCTTGTGTTGCTCTGTATGCTTGGCTTTGTGATTCTTCAACAGACAGAGCAATGCAGGCATTTGGCCAAAGGGGTTTGGAGTTAGACAAGACTGCAGAAGGTCAACACCGGCGCTCGTTGGTCTGGTTTGGAGGCGTCATCGCCTCTGCCAGGTGCCTATTGTGCAGTCTCGCGCCAGAAGACGAGGTGCGGGGACCGAGCCGGAGGCGAGGTGCGGGGCCATCGCGAGGGATTCCATTGGGGTCAGATGGTCAATGTCAAAATGACTTTGAACCTCCAACCTATATACCCCCTCAGCTGAGTATGTTCTAACTGGTATTTCTATTTCTCCTTCTCCTGTGGGTGACACAAGACACGCCGGTCCCAGACGTCAAGAGAACCGCTTTCAGGTTGAGAACCGCCCAGGTGGTTCGGTACAGCAAACATGGATCGTCCCCCGTCCGCTCCACTCCGCTCCGCTCTCCGCTGCGAGCTGGGCGGAGAAGCGCCTTGGTGGCGGTCAGGGAGCCGATGAGACGGATCTGCACCGACGGTCGGGTCTCTTTTTCATGGGTGTTGGACGGAGCGAGCCACACACTTGGAAGAGGGCATCAGATGAAAGGACATGAAAGGACCGTAGCGGCGGTGTTTTGGAGGAACATCCACTCCGCGAAGCAATTTTCAGGTTCCCGCAGTTGTCAGAAGGTGACCCCTCTCATTGATGTTTGCATGTGATTCAGCAGTCTTCAGCAGTATTTTCGGAGTTTGCATTTGGAAAGGGCCACTTCCTGCTGTTCCGACAGGTGGCCTGGGGCGCGAGGAGCGTGCCGAATGGATGGCCTGACTGCGGTAGACTGAGGAGCGTGCCAGGGCAAAAGAGCATGATGAGTCCTTTGCGAATGGTGGGTGTTTAGGTTGGCAGACCGTGGTACCGGTGTTCGCGGTTGGTCGGGGTAGGCAGGAACACCAACCCTCTCTCCCACCTAGCATTAATGTGTACCTTGTCAGTTTGGACAGCTTGCTGGTAACAGGAGCAGCTGCTCCCTGGTTTAAAGTTTGGTGCTGTGCCACACAGCTTTTGTTTTTGTTTTTTTTTTTTGGGGCTTCCTTTCCTTTTGCTGGCGTCTTGGTTGGCATGCCGCTCTATGGAGCAGGCCGACCGAGGCCACACTGGGAGGCCGTAGAGCCCTACCCAGCTTTTGCGTTGGCGAGGCCTAGGCCGAGGCCGATCTTGGGCTTGGACAGGGAGAAATACTTGCTTGAGGGCTGCGAGAAACCGTTACCAGCTGGCATCGAGCTTCCCTTGAAGCAACCAGCTCTTCGCCTGTGCAAGGGTGGTTTGCCAGGCCCTGTGAGAGGTTGCGATGACTTTGCGGCCAAGCAAGCGGTGGCCGTTCTCGCTGAAGTGAGCGCTGATGTTGTTAGGAGTGGTGTAGCCCGTAGTTTTTGGGTCAAGCCGGGCTGCCGCGCCAAATCCTGGGAGGAAGAACAGTGGCAAGCGCTCGCAAGAACTTGGGTTGGCTACTTGCAGCCACTTTTGAACTCCTCGCCGTTCTTCCAAGACTTGGGCGAGTTGGCCGAGGGTTGCTTGATTAGAGTTTTGCGGACAAAGGCAGCCGGTACCTTGCGGCGGCACCTGCCGGGTTTCAAATTATGGGTGGACTTCATCCACGGCACTGACCTGGAGACGCCGTTCGCGCGTGCAGACTTGTTGGTCAATTTCTTTGATTGCGTACAGGCGAAGCACCGTAGCGCGATCGCCCCCTGGCGTTCCCTGAAGTTCGTGGCGGCCTTGCTGGGCTGGGATCGCTTGCTGGCTACCTTAGCAAATCCTGTCGTGGTTGCTTGTTCGGGCGATGCGGCAGAGAGTAAGGAACGCAAGGAAGCTGTACCTTTGCCTTTGTATGCCGTGGCGCGCATGGAGGCTGCAGTGCTCGCTGCCTTGGCTTCGGGTCCACAGCTGGATCCACCTACACTGATGTGTGTGGTGTTCTTGGTTATGCTTTGGGGTGCGCTTCGTTTTTCTGATGCCCAGCGCGTGGCAGTGCCTGAGATGGACTTCGATCAAGGTATTGTGCGCTGCAGATGTTGGAAGACAAAGTCCTCCAAGGCTTCTATGCCTTGGGGCTGCCTTACGGTGGGTATCTATGATGATTGGACGGCAGCTGTCAAATTGCTGCGAGAAAAGCTTGGAGAGGTCGATTTCCTGATCCCTGGGCCCTTTGGGGGCCGGGCCTCGTTTACTTATACACAAGCTCAGTTGAGGCGTTTGCTCGTGTGTGTGGCCAAAGTCCCAGAGCATGCGGTTTCCATTTACACTTTGCACAGTCTAAAAGTGACTGGGCTTTGTTGGGGCTTGCAGTTAGACATCGATGGGCGCTGCCGCCGCTTGTGGGGGCATCATCGGGCGCGCGAAGCCGGTGAGGCTATGGTTCAAAAGTATGGGCGTGACGACGTGCTGCCTGCGCTGAGGGCGCAGCTGGTGGTGGCTCGGGCAATACGTGGCGGTTGGTGCCCCTTGACCCCTCAAGCAAGAGGTGCACGCCAGCCTTGCCCTGAGGAACCTCTGGCGCCGGCGCCATCGGCACTGCGGGGGGCTCCCTTGGGTCTGGACATCTGTGCCTCGGGTACTTCGGACACAGAGTCTGAGTCGGATGAGAATGAGTCGGAGGCGGAGTCCTCGGTGAGCAGCGTGTGCGGCGAGCTGTTGGAGGCGGACGACGAAGAGGACGCGGTGCCTGGCCCAGCGCAGCTTGTTGGCGGAAAGTTTCTGGTGAATTGCCGCTCTCACAAGTTTCACGCTGTGATTCTAGCCGGTGGTTCGCTACGGCGGGCGTGTGCCCCATCTCAGTCGGTGGATGAGCCACAATGGGAGGTGCGATCGGAAGACCCGTCAACTAGCATTGGAGCATTCATACCTTGTAGCCATGCTGCATGTGGTTTGCTCTTGGGTGCGGAGTGACAAAAAGTGGGGCGGTGTGTGCGCGATTTTGCGCGGCCGTGGGGTCGTGGGGATCTCGAGGGAGATCGGGATCTCGAGGGAGATCGGTGGTGGGTCACCTTCCAGGTCGGGGGTCCCCTTGCAAACGTGGGTTTGCGGTGATGACGTGGGTCATCTTGCAGACGTGGGTCTGCTGAGATCTCGTGGGAGATCTGGATCTCTGGGGAGATCCGGTGACGTGGGTCACCTTCGAGGAAGTGTCCTCTTGCAAACGTGGGTTTGCTGTGATGACGTGGGTCATCTTGCAGACGTGGGTCTGCTGTGATCTCGTGGGAGATCTGGATCTCGGGGAGATCCGGTGACGTGGGTCGCCTGGAGGACGCTCGTCCGTCGTTTCGGTGTGGGAGGTGTCTCCCTAATTTCCTTTCAGCAAGTGCGCTGGGAGTGTTTGTTTGGGCGTTGGCCTTCGTTGTTTGGTTGTCTTGCCTTCCTTTGTCTTTGTGGCGCGATGTCCGCGATGGACTGCAAGAAGAAATTTCAGGACTTGTTGCAAAAGGTGGGGCTGTGTAGCAAAGTTCAGGAGGAGTTGGCTGCGCGGGGCTTCGCGACTGCCGCGGAGTTGCACTGGACTCTGCAGAGCGGGGCTGAGGAGACGATTGATGCTGTGCTGCAGGCGGCTGGGGTAGATAAGGGCTGTGCGCCTTCTTTGCTTCAGTGCTTGGAAGCGGGCCGCTTGCGGCGTCTCTTGGCTATGTGCACAAAAGTATGCAATGACGCTGGTGATCAGGCGCCAGTGGTTTCGGATGCAGCAGGGACGAGCTTGTTGGGTCTCTCAGTGGGCCCGCAGCTGGATGCGGCTCAGTTGGCAGAGTTGTGGAAGAAGTTTGCGGCGGACTACCCATCAGAGTGCTTGGAAGCGGATGGGCAGCCCTGCAAGCAATTGCTGCAGCAGATCGCGCTCCAAAAGCGGAATGGGGAGTTGAAGTTTATCCCTTGGAAGCAAATCTTGAGCGTTGCGCAATACGATCGTTCCCGCCAGTCCTGCTCCCACTCTAAGGAGAAGTCTCTCCTGGGCCTTTTGGCGGATGTGACAGGACATGTTGACGCTTTGGAAGCTGACGTGTCTTCCTCCCCCTTCGCTGTGCAGAAGGTTTTGTCGCTGCGCAGTGTGGCGTGGGCGTTGCTGGATTGGTGCCATTTGTCGTCGGGCAAAATGCTTGTCAACAAGTTCATGTTGCTGTATCATCGCGTTGGGTTGGCTGATGTGGGGATGCGCCCCCCAAACCTTGCAGAGGCCGAGTTTGCGGATGCGGAACTCTGCCGTCAACTGCAGGACTTGATGAGCAAGGGCAATGATTTGGACAGGGCTATTTATGAGGCAGTTGTGGTGCGAGACAGTTTGCGATTGTGGCTGCAGCCGCGCCTCAAAGCTCCAGCAGAGAAGGGAAGGCGTCCTTCCCCGTATGGTGCTGAAACTACAAGTCCTAGCAAGGGTCGTGGCCAAGGCAAGGGCAAGGGTAAAGACAAAGGGGTGAAGCGTGCCAAGGGTCTTTGTTGGAGCTTCCAAGAAGGCAAATGCACTATGCGCGACGAATGCAGGTTTAAGCATCACTGTGATCATTGCGGCTCTGCTGAACATGGGCGGCATGCGTGCGCGAAGCTTTTGCAACTGGCGAAAGAGGATTAGGGGCGTTGCCTCGCTCCCATCATGGAGCAATGCGGGAGCGAGGTAGCAGCAGACCCTGCAGGCTGCCCCTCGCTGCCAGCTGGTAGCGCTCCACCCTGGCAGCCTGCGGCTTTCCATCAAGATGCGGGCCAGGCTGACGTGGCGGGGGTGGCTCAGCAGCCTGAGAGTGGTTCTCCTGCAGATTATCACCGCATCTTTCTGAAAGACGGGGGTGGTCTGTCGAGCACTCTGGATTGGCAAGTGCCTCCGCCTGGAGCTTTGCGGGACCCATTGTCTGCGGTGCGCAAAGCAATTTGGTCTTCCATGCCGAAAGATGCTTGCTGCCGGGCGGCCGCGCTGTGTGGCAAGACCTTGGAGCATCCGTTCTTCACTGACTCAGAGGTGCATTTGATGCAATTGGCCGATTGTTCAGCCTTGGGTATCGATTCGGCTTGGGCATTGGAGTCCTTTGAACTCACTCCGTACAAGTTCAATCTGCTGGAAAGTTTGGCTCTGCGTATGGATGATCCGGATGTTGCTCTGTGCAAAGTGCTTCGGCGCGGGGCGCCTACGGGAGTACGGGAGCCAATCCCTGCATCTGGTGTTTGGCCACCTTGTTCTGGCAAATGGGGTGACGAGGTGGCTGAGGCTTGCGATTTGTTCTGGTGCACCTCCAATCACATTTCTGCAGAACAGGAGCCGGCGAAAGTTCGCGCTTTAGTCCAGAAAGAAGTGGACTTATTTGGTACACATTGCAGGGGGGATGTCGGCAGTACAACAGCGATTCCCGGATGGTTCCTTGGCAATTGGCAAGCTGGGGCTCGTGACGTGCGCTGGAAAAGAAGACCGGCTCATTGGCGACTCCCGCGCCAGTGGGGCGAGCCCGGCGGCCAGATTCCTTGAGCGGGCGGAGGTGCCTTCGCTTTTCTTGTTCACTGCTGCGCTGAACAGGTTCGCCGCTTGGCGAGGTGTGGCGGTGGACCCCAAAGAGTGGGTGTTGTTCAGCGTGGACATCAAGGGGGCTCACAAATCTATTCGTACGGCTGCTGAAGATGTGGGCTTTTCGGTTTTCTCACTTGAAGGACAATTCTACGCATACGTGGTCAACCACTTCGGGGCCGCGTGGTCGGCGTATTGGTGGTCGAGGCTTTCTGCTTTGCTGTTACGAACCATACACTTCCTGGTGCGCCACCGCCACCTGGGGGCGGTTTATGTGGATGATTTTCTATTCCTCCTGCCGCGGGGGGCGTTCGCGATGCTGGTGGTGCTGGTGCTGGCTATTTTGCAAATCTTGGCTGTGCCATTGTCCTGGCGTAAACTGGCATTGGGTTCCGAGTTGACCTATTTGGGATGGCAGTTGTCCTTGCATTCTGGTTTCTGGGCGTCCTTGCCGGAAAGCAAGCAAGCGAAGGTGCTTAGGGAGCTGGCTTGGTGGAGGTTGCATCCGCGACGGGTGCCTCGGAAGAAGCTCTCTCAGCTCTTGGGGTTTCTGCTTTGGGCGACTCAAGTGCGACTCGCATTGCGAGCTTTCCTTGCGCCTCTCTTTATCAAGCTGAACAAGCCAGGGTCACGCTTGCAGTGTCTGAGTTTGGGGCAATTAGAAGAGCTGCCCCCAGGACGGGCTGGTAGAGTCGACGGCGGCAAAGCCGCAAAACCGACCTGAACGAGATCTGGAGCTGCAGGGAAGGTGCAAAGGGACCCAGGCTCCGGCTGAGCATGTCGCATGCGTTCATGTCGCATGCGTTCATATAGCATGCGCTTGAACATTCTCCTTCGGAGACCTTCCGAACATGCAGGCGCGGCGTCGAATTTGGTAGAGTACATTGAGTCATTGAGTACATACATACATACATACATAAATACATACATACATACATACATATACAAAGAGTGAGATCACGCATCTTTTCTTGTTCGCTCTGCAGTGTATTTGTCAAAATTAAAGGCAATTGGGAACGAACAATTCTCCCATAAAATTTACCGAGATAGTTATCCCCCCCTTCTCGGTCCACTACACGAAGAAGGGGGCGCTCCCGGATAACTGTCCCCCCCTGACCAGGTGGGCCACACCCCAAGCCCTGGCCAGGCCCCAAGGGACTTTGAACTCTTTTGTTCATTTCACTCTTTGTTCATTTCATCTCAGAGCGTTTCTAGCTCTTCTTTCTCGGCAATGAGGGTGGGAGAGGAGGGATAAGCCGAAACACTACGGAACAAGAAGTTTAGGCTACTCACTCTTTACACCCGGGGGCGGATTACCAAAGAGTGAGATCACGCCTCTTTTCTTGTTCGCTCTGCAGCATATTTGTCAAAATTAAAGGCAATTGGGAACGAACAATTCTCCCATAAAATTTACCGAGTTAGTTATCCCCCCCCTTCTCGGTCCACTACACGAAGAAGGGGGCGCTCCCGGATAACTGTCCCCCCCTGACCAGGTGGGCCACACCCCAAGCCCTGGCCAGGGCCCAAGGGACTTTGAACTCTTTTGTTCATTTCACTCTTTGTTCATTTCATCTCAGAGCGTTTCTAGCTCTTCTTTCCACGTCCCCCTAGACTACGATGCTCCGTAGTCGGCCTGTTGCTTGGCAACGGCTCAAGTGTTTCAAAAGTCTGGTGGTTAAAAATCACAAAATTGTCTGGTAAAGCGCCAACATATTCATCAATGCATTCCACTTTATTGCGTGCAAAAGGGCACAGGACTCATTAAGATGCAATCCGCCGTCACACGCTTTCAAACGAGTCCACTTAATTGCGTTCGAAAAGGCACAAGAAACACTAAGATACAATCAGCCCGTCCTCTGGGCTTTCCAGCAGCCCCAAAAACACCCACAACCAGGGTTTCCGAGATGAGAAAAAACTCCCAGTAAGTCGCAGGTTTGGAACAATGCAGGGAAGAATCAAGTTGGCGGCGCTAGTCCGGTTGTCATGTTCGACCGAACCACTCCCTTGAAAAAACGGCTCTCTTGCTAGCCTTAGTCAATCTACGTGAGTCAAGTTTCAGGCTGTCTGCGCGGGTTTGAAACAATTTGCGCGCACCCGCAGGGAAGAAACAAGTTGGCGGTGCCGGCTCACTGACTTAGTCCGGTTGTCATGTCCCACCGAGCCACTCCCTGGAAAAACGGCTCTCTTGCCAGCCTTAGTCAATCTAAGTGAGTCAAGTTTCAGGCTGTCTGTGCGGGTTTGAAACAATTTGCGCGCGCCCGCAGCCGCAGGGAAAAAGGAAGTTGGCAACGGCTCTCTTGCCAGCCTTGGTCATTCTGAGCCTAAAAACCAATTGGGCGGCTCATACGCGCCCCACGTCTTGACCAGTCGCCAAGCTCTACTAGGGAGTAACCCCCGAATTTCCGAATTAAAGTGTTGCAACGACGCCAGGTCGCCGGGGCCTTCCCCGCGACCTGCCGGCGCTTTGTCCACTCCATAGTTAATGGGTCAGGTATAAGATCCCCTTGATAGACTACTGGCCCAAGCCTTCACACGGCGTGCCCTCGACCGTCACTTGCCTTGGAGCGCTCAAAATCTGTCATACTTGATTCGGCCATACATGTATGCGTGTCCTTTCTGGAATGACGGGTGCCTGACACCCGTCTCGGCGGTTCACTCGGCTATGTCGGGGCGAACAGTGACAAGGTAAAAAATCATAGTCCGCTGCTTTCCCCTCCACAGGGTCTCCCTGCTGCATGAATGCAGCCCCGCTGGGCGACGTCTATGAAATGTCCCCGGCTATGAAGTGTCTATGGCCCGATGTAGTAGTTATATTCCAACTTGTCTCCACCCTTCGCTCTCAGGGCTGACCGCGGACGAGGGTATTTCGGGACACTCAATAACCACGTTCAAAACACCCTCATCCAGGCTCCCGTCCACCAATCACGCCACGGGCGGTGATAACATGTTCAAAGGAAGTTTAGTGTGCAAAACTTCCGTGTTACGGACATTCAACAGCTGTTCAACCACCACCCATCATACACCACTCATCATACACCACTCATCATACACC